CCACCATCCCACATCTGTTGCCTCATTAATTGGGGGGGAGGGGTGCTACCTTTTAAACCAATTGATCTATAAAGGTTAATCCGCAGGCAGTGCAGTCTTATATCCCCTCAGAAGGAAGTCTGATTGAGTTAAATGGGACTTACTTCCAAGTAAGTGGGTGCAGCCTAAATGCAGACCTCGTAATTACAGCATAGAAGCAAAGTTGTGTGTGGAATGCAACCAATCAGCCTTCTTTCAGGAGAAGGGAGAAGTGCATAACCCCAATTCAGATTTCCAAAAAAAATATAATCATTTGATGCTGGTTTCCTTGAGAACTGAGTAACTATTTGGTGCCCTCTAGGCTAGGGTAACAACGTATTAGTCAACTCCCAAATGTAACCATGGAAATGATATCTCATGTATACAGTAGAACCCAGAGGACCTCTACATTTGAGGAAGCATGGAATTTTGGAGCTCACCAATGCACATACTGGCATCTCATAACAGTTTAAACGTTTAGTTGGGTTTCCTGATGTTTATATATGCCTGATATTGCACCCCTGATGTTATTACACCAATTACCAGATGTTTATACATCCATAGATGACATCCATGCTACACAGTTGCTGCAGAAAATGCTGGTGTATGTAACACTGGTGTTTCTGACAACAGTGAAACTTGTTTTTAGGTCTTTGGAATTTAGTAGGTTTTCTGGGTCACTTGAGACTTAGGCAGCATACACACCATAGATTTAAAAGAATCCCAAGAATCTTGGGAACTGCAGTTTGCTAAGGGTGCTGGGAATTAGAGTTTTGTGAGGGCAAAACTACAGTCCCCACGATTATTTTGGGTGTGTGTGTGCTATAAATGTATGCTGTATATACAGCCTTACACCCAAAGATTCACAGGACTCATATGTCTGGTGTCAGAGTGGGAAGTGATCCCGTACCTCTCCTTTAGCTGATCTGATTGTGGGTGGGCAAGGATAGGCACTTCTGCAGCATAAAAATAGATGAAGTGCATCACCCCCTGCACCCGATCCCAATTTGCATAAAATTCAAATATGGTAATTTCAAAAAAATAAAATAAAAATACTTTCCTTTAAACAGAAATATAACTTACCACGGAGGAAGACTGTGAACCAGGTGATTTGTTTGTGTCTGCTGCCCAGGTACACAGTTCAGTCTACAGGCAACCCCCCTCAAGTCACTTCCTTTGCTCACACCTTATACAGACCAAACTAGTACACTCCGCACAGCTGGAAGGGGGAAGAGAAGTCCCATTTCCCAAAAGGTCTCTTCTTCTAGAAAAGCCTCAAAACTGTTTGTATGATGTTGTGGTTGTTTCCAGTTGTGATTACTTAATACAAATTAAAATCATCATCTCCGACCATTAGCTTCTATGGCAGATGATGTGTTTGGCAAGTTTGACCCTTCAAGCGGTCATTTCAGACTCCAACCATAGAACCACTCAGTTGGAGGAGGCCTTGATGTTATCCAGCTCAGCTCCACAGCATTTTACAAAATATACTTTACTCCTTCTCCAGATCCTCTAATCTCCTATCTAAGTGGCAAGAGGATGCAAGCTTGTATTGAGTGCAGATGTATGTAATTATTACATTAAGATCCCACTTTTCTTCCAAGGAGCTCAAGGAAGTGTATGTTGTTCCCCCCTCTTCATATTATCCTCACAGTCACTGAGAGGCAGTGACTGGTCCAAGATCACCCAGTGAGCTTCACCGCCAATGTCCTAGTCCATGTTGGCTCTCGAAAGATTTCTAAGGCTACTCAAGTCCTATTAGTGCTCAGCTTTGCGACTGAATTGGGATTTGAACCTGGGCTCCAGCGTCAAAGCCCAACACTCAAACCACTACACCACACACATTAATGCATGTATGTACTGGCAATCAATACTAGACTTGTCTGCTCAGAATACATGTCTAGTATCTGCTCAGAAGTTAGTCCCATTGCATTCAATCCTGTTTACTCCCCAGCAAGCATGCGTTGGATTTTACCTTCAGGTCACAATCAAACAGCTCAGCTTCACGCTGCCAGCACGCAAAGCAGCAAAAAGCCAGACACACAGGAGAAGAGGCCAAAAGTTGCCAAACGGCTTTGCAACATTAAGCCGCAGCAGCATGGGAACCATGCACAGCCTCTGCCACTCCCGCTATGACCAGTCGTATGCAGTAGCCACCAGCAAGGAGCCACTAGCAGCAGTGGCAGCAGCAACCAAGTCATGCATTTAATTGGTGTCTATTGGATTTCCCCCCCTGAAGCTATACTTTGTGCTACTTACTCTGACATGGAAGGCAGAAGTTTCATTTTGTATCTGCATCTGACTCAGATACTTTTTCTATACTGGCATTTGGCCTCCTGCCCTGACGGCAGTTTTTCTTGTATCATCAGGCTGAAATGTAGAATTTCCCACTGAGGAGATAGAGGAATGTGTGTGTGTGTAAAAGCGGGGTGAGGGAGGAAGAGACATTGATGAATGGAATAAATCCCTGCCACTCTTCTAGTTTCTTCGCAAAAACACAGCGGCAAGGTCTTTCTTTATCCTGTCACATAAAGATGCCACTGTCTCCCTAGAGAATAGCTCTTGAGAGACAGCAGCTTCTTTACGATCAGCAAACCTACAGCTATAACAATTGTAGAGCCATGGGGATAGTATAGGAGCACTATGCTCCATTCAAATGGACTTTCTCCTCTGGAGAGCCTCTGGTAAGGGAACCCTATTCTGCAACTTGAGTTTTAAGTAAGAAACCCAGCTGTAGATGGCACCGGTTGGCTAGTACCTGTGACATCATCAATACACCTCCCATTAAACCCCCCCAAAGATGCACCCACTTAAAAAAAGAAGCCAATAGCACAGGTGAAATGAAAGGAGTGCAGAAAATATTGATGCCTTAATCAGCATTCAGTTTGTGGGAAGCTAGCTACTAAACCGCACTGGACTTCTCACATCTGATATTAACATCCATCTTCACCGCTAAACAGAAGACTTTTGTTAATTTTTACAGTTATGCTACATGCTGAACATATTCATCTGTGCTTACATAGAGGATGGGACTCTATTAGGTTGGAATATTGTTTTCATAACTTGCCAAGTAACTTTTATTTTATTAATAACCGATCTCGGCTCCTAATGTGTCGTGTCCACCAGGCTAGCACACCTCAGGGAAACGTATGTACAAAATCTACTGTGAAATATGGAAGTCAGTGTGGCATTTGCTTTCTTCCACCTTTATTGTTTCTCCCCCTGCAAATAATTCTCCCCACTGGCCTTTTCAACTACCAATTCGTAATTAACACAAGCCAGCAAAATACAAGTGGCCTCTTTCTAACCGTCAAGCTACAGTCCATTCTCTTCTCTCACTTCCACCTGCCCTCCATTACAGCCATTAACTGCTCTCTGCAGCTTATATGCCAACAAAGAAAAAGATGGCTTCACAGCTGTGACAGAATTCCATGTATGGGGGTGGCGAGGAAGGGGAGAAGCATCTTGGGACTCTAATCCAACCAGACAGATTGAGGTCAAATGCTTCTTGCATTCAACAAGCATAAAGCAGGAAGAGAAAGGAAAAGCCACAGAAATAAGAGGTGGTGGCAAGTGCCTATAGGGTGCCTCACGTTCTGCTGTAGGGCAGCCACCGCCAACCTGGTGTTGTTTAGACATTTGGGCTACAACACCTACCAGCCCCAGCCAGCATAATCTCTGGAGGTCAACGCGCTGTCCGTGGCTGCCACCCTAAAGCAGCTGAGAGTTGGAAATGGCTCTGAGGACCAATGCATGTAGGATATTTGAAAGTGTCTGCAAGCAAATGCTTTAGGTGCCTTGCTTTTTCTTGCCTCCCAGATCCCACTCCTTATTTCTCCCCCAAACACAAGCCAAGGAGTTCATGGGCCCATACACACCATACATTTTAAGCATCACCACAGTACTTTAAATACTCATGGCTTTCTCCCAAAGAATCCGAAGAAGTGTCGCTTGTTGAGGGTGCTGAGAGTTAGATCCCTGTTCTCCCTCACAGAGTGCCAGTTCTAAAAGTTCCCCTGGAACATGGACTGACAGTGAAACTGAACAGCCTGGAGATTGAGAGCAGAGACAGTAAAGGAATTTGTACCCAGGGTTCACCATTTAAAGAGGAGGCAAGGAAGAGATGACACAAGAGAGGTGTGGAGAAAGTGGACAGAGAAGTTTTACTCCTCCTCTCTTAACACCAGAACTGGGGACATCCAATGAAGCTGGCTGGTGGAAGATTCAGGACCAGACAAAAGAAAGGACCCCTTTGATGCAGCGCACACTTAAACTGCAGAACTCACTCCCACAGGACACAGTGATGGCCACCAACTTAGATGGCTTTAAAACAGGATTAAGCAAATTCATGACGAATAAGACTATCAAGTTTATCTGAAGAAGTGTGCATGCACATGAAAGCTCATACCAATAACAAACTTAGTTGGTCTCTAAGGTGCTAGTGGAAGGGATTTTTTAAATTTTGTTTTGACTGCAGCAGACCTACCTGTCTCTAAGGCTATCAATGGCTACTAGCCATGCTGGCTATGCTCTGCCTTCACGATTGGATGCAGTATGCTTCTGAATACCAGTTGCTGGAAAAAAAAGGTGGGAGAATGACCTGATGCTCAGGTCCTGCCTTCCCATTGGCATCTTACTGCCCCCCCACCCCGGCCATGAGAACAAAGTGCTGGACAGGATGTGCTTTCGATGTTCTTTCCTAAGCATGTATAGTGGGAGACACAATTACTGACTAGCGAAGAAGAGGAGTTTGGATTTGATATCCCACTTTATCACTACCCGAAGGAGTCTCAAAGCGGCTAACATTCTCCTTTCCCTTCCTCCCCCACAACAAACACTCTGTGAGGTGAGTGAGGCTGAGAGACTTCAGAGAAGTGTGACTGGCCCAAGGTCACCCAGCAGCTGCATGTGGAGGAGTGGGGACACGAACCCGGTTCACCAGATTAAGAGACTACCACTCTTAACCACTACACCACACTGGCTGTAGATGGGTGGAGGTGTATTTTATTCATATGCTGAACTGCCCTTTGACCAAATATTGCCAGAAAAGACAACAACAACAACAACCCACTATATTTATACATACGTACACACAAAGTCCTGAGTATTTTCACGTCTCGGGAAAACCCCAAAAAAACTTGCTCACACCAGACAGATATTAATTTAAAATGGCACCCTTGTTGTGGAAACACTGGCAATTTTGTCATTCTGGCTCCCTGTGTGAATGACTAGTAGGTATGTAAATAAGCCACTCAGCTTCCTTTTATTTTTATTTTTTTCCAAAGCAATGGTAAGTCAGCAGGTCATGACCTAGAAGGTGGGAAAGGCAGAGCTGTGGATAGAAGCTCTTGCCTCTGCTGCACCAATGACCCAGTGTTCCTTGGAGACAAGGCACACAGCTGCCACAGGATCAGCACCCCTTTCAAAAGGGAAGCAAGCCAGACAATATAGCAGGCAGAGACCACCACCAGACACATAGTCAATGCCAATGCCCCCTGCAGCATAAATAACACCCTCTTTGCTCCTCATAAAAAAATCTCCAATATACCCAAAACATCACATTCATATTCATAGTTATAAGAGTCATCTTTCCCCACAAAAATTATCAATTCTTTCTTCCCTGCTTCCATAGCTGCTCAGCAGGCATCCACATTACTGCTGTGGACATCACCCTGTTCCTATGCTTTCAATTTGCTTTTCCATTTTCCCAAAGCCCCCATAAGATCCACTTAGGAATGAAAACAGTTTTGAGGCACTTGCAAGCGTTCCATCTCAGTATTTTGGGTGAGGAGAAGTCACTCCACAGAAATGGCTTTCTGTGGAGCAGGAATCTGGCCCACCAGTTGTAGCACCCGCTGGGAAAGGCAGAGGCTGGTAGGATGGTGGGAGATATATTGACACAGAGCGTATGGACAGATAGAGATAGACAGCACCTGGGGGAGCAGCAAAGACAAAAGGGAGTTTAGGTAACCTGAAGGCAATGGCTCCCAGACCTCACCTCATTTCTACCCTGATACTTAAGTCCCTCCATTCCTCTGACTCACCTTGCCACTACGGCAAACTCCCAGCAGGCTGTGGGGCCTCTCGTCATCAAGTACAGTAGCAAAAAGGATATCTAAGACCAGGTGGATGCGATGGATGGTTTGTGCCGTCTCCACATCAGCAAGGAAGAGGAAAGCATGTTTGGTAAGAATGACCACCACACCCAAGTGGGGCAGGAACTAAAAGGATAGAAAAGCAGTTGTTTGAGAAGTCTGAACCAGTCTCCTTCCCACATCTCATCAATATTATTTAACCATACTCTGACTGGGATTACCAGCATGGCTCTTGAGTGCATAATGGCACCCTGAGACCCACCCATCCGGGGGGCCCTGACCTCCCTTAATAAAAAAAACATTTTGTTTGTTTGTTTGGGGTATCCCTGTCTGCTTCTTTTGTCTATTTTGTTTCTGCTTTTGGTGTCTGCCTGTGGGGGAAGGGGGGTTAATAACCCATGTTTTGCCTGTTTTTCAGGCAGTGGGGGAGTTCTAAGCACAGGCAGTGTTCCTTGTGCGAAATTGATATATTGTGATGGCCACAGAAGTTTTAGATTTAGAAACGAGACCCCAGGCCCGAAGAGGTTAGGCACCCTTTGCCAAAAACAGGCATGCGGAACCTTTGGCCCTCTAGCTGTTGATGAACTACAACTCCCATGGCTATGTTTTCTGGGCTTGATGGGAGTTGTAGTTCAGCAACATCTGGAGTTCCAGAGGTTCCCCGGCAATGCCCTAAAAGCTTCTTCCCCTTGTCCCAACTACTCCCGGGCACTTGGAAAACATGGCCACCAACTCTGGATCAAATAGCCAGACATCCACTGGGTTAGATGGGGAAGGCACAAAAAAAAACCCACCACCAACTACATCAGCCCAACTGACACCTTCCAGATGTTTTGGATTACAATTCCCATCAGACCCAGTCAGCATGGGGATGAGAGAAGTTGTTGTCCAAGGTTCAGCAGGTCCATAAGCCAACTGTCTCCAAGGCAAAACTCACTTGTACTGCACTGGGGAAGTCCCCTAGCTGAGTCCCCTTGAAAGGCAAGGTGTCGCGGGCACTAAGCAAGGCGGCGTTCCCTGGCTGATGTGGGCCTAGCTCTACCACATGAAACTGCAGACACAAACAAGAAGCAAGTGCAGAGTTAGAGACTTTACTGGCTCCCTACCCAGTAGACCTTGGCTCCCAACTTCTTCTTTGCCCATCCTTAATAAGCCCCAGTCACCTGTCCAGCCTGTTCCTTGCCTCTCCGCACAGCAGCTAAGAGGGATGTTGAAGGTTTTGGATTCCTGGAAAATCTGTGCTGAGGCAAGGATACTGCTTGGGCTTCTATGACCTGAGAAAGTGGGCCCCCTCGCCAATACAGCTGGGTCAGGCCCACAACTTGGCTCTGTGAGAAGGAAACGAAGAGAGAGAGAGATTCAGAGCATGGGTAGCCAATGGCGCTTAGACTACAACTCGCACCATCCCTGACTATTGGGCCATGCCAGTTAGGGCTGGTGGGAACTGGAGTCCAACGATATCTGAGGCACAATGTTGGCTATATCTGGGTTAGAACAGAGCCACCAAGCCATGTAGAGTGGTACCTCAGGTTACAGACGCTTCAGGTTGCATACGCTTCAGGTTACAGACTCCGCTAACCCAGAAATAGTGCTTCAGGTTAAGAACTTTGCTTCAGGATGAGAACAGAAATCGTGCTCCGGCGGCGTGGCAGCAGCAGGAGGCCCCATTAGCTAAAGTGGTGCTTCAGGTTAAGAACAGTTTCAGGTTAAGTACGGACCTCCGGAACAAATTAAGTACTTAACCTGAGGTACCACTGTAATGGGTTTAGAAACAAGAGACTTAACTTTTAACATTTTTTTTTTTAAATGGATAAGCTGAAATAAAAAGGGATTGACAATGAAAACCAGAGAAGGGTGGTGGGAAGTCAGGGGATTCAGAGAATCCTAAATGTGAAGGTGAATGATATGTTTAAATTGAAATGTGTTATGTAAAACTTAATTAAAATATTTTAAAAATATAAAATAGAAACAAGAGACATATCACAGCCATGGGGGCAGAGAATTATGTACCTGCTCAAGTCCTAGAGCAGAGAGAGCCATCCACATATGACTGGCATCCCGTTGATATCCTACCACCTCCATGCCACAGAGACGTTCATGTCGGCTAAACTGCCAACTTGGTCCGGAACCTTGAAGAGAGATTACAGACAAGGAATGGAGTCAAGGTCTTCTGCTCAATTCATATGGCTTACGTGATAGATTAAGTAGGGAACTTCTGGCCAAGGGGTTCAATTTGACATGCCAGGCCCTTTCCGTAACCAGTGATGGCCAAACTTGGCTCTCCAGCTGTTTTGGGACTACAATTCCCTTCATCCCTGACCGCTGGTCCTATTAGCGAGGGATGATGGGAGTTGTAGTCCAAAAACAGCTGGAGGGCCAAGTCTGGCCACCACTGTGCCTAAACCGCACTCACCTACCCATCAGTGATTATGTCAGCTGATGGGTGGGAGGACAGGGTTCAACCCTGCACTGGCTATGCCGTCCTGTTCCTAGGAGGCAACAGGATCACACAGCCAAGGCAACAGGATTTAATCTAATGAGCTAATGTGCCAAGATTAAAGTGCTCTGTCTTCTCCTTTAAGGGGGCTGGGCTGCATATGACGCTACAGCTGCCACCCGCCCACTTAAAGGAGAAGCTGAGCAAAGTGTCAATTGAAACAGCTTCCGGGGGGGGGGGGGGAGAGTCTGCTTCAAAGGGCACTTTGCTGCTTTAGGACAATCCTCCATGGATAGATCCTCAAACTACCCCTCTGCTTTTAATTTTCATCACAGTAGACTGTTGAGGCAACGCCAGCACACTGCTTCCCCAATAATTCCCTTCAATAATCACTAACTTATCCCATAAACTAGACAGCCTGCCTCTCCTACAATGCATGTGTCCTTTGTCCTTTTCCTTTACTCCCAACTCCATCCATCAAGCACCCTTGGTTTCACCACTTAACTCCATTCATCATTCTGCCTACAACCTGCCCGTGCCAAGGATTCTTTCATTACAGCCACGCCAACAACATCTTCCCCAAGTCCCTCGAACACTCACGTTTTACGGTCCAGTGGAAGACATCCTCCTCAGTCACCACAGCCAGAATGTCAGCGTTCAACCACACCCAGTACTCAATAGGATGAGCAAATTCCCACTGGTACCTTAAGGAACGCTGGTCCACGTCGTAGACCTGGGCCAGCTGCCCCGCTAGAAGAAAGAAGAGGGAAGATTAAGACAACTGCTGCGGTTTGAGGGAGTGGAGCCGCTTGACAGTGAAGGCCCCTCAATTTATAAAACTGACAATTCACTGTATTTTAGGTGCACCTGTGTCTCTTCTGCAAAACTGAATGAGAAGCCCCACAACCAAATAGAAAGCAGGTAAATAATACGGAAAGCTACAAATGAGAACTTTAGGACATGACACTCATTCACCAGAAATGACTTGACGTTTCCAAAGGCTGCAGAGAGAGCGCTTGGCATTACCAGAACATTAAGTGGGTCAGAGACAAAGAATTCCTTTGGAAATGTTGCTATCCCAAGGGATAACAAATACTCCAACCTCTCCCACAGTTTTAGAACAACCACTGCCCAAAATAAAATGACAGCCAGACAGTGTTACCACCTTCCCTCTTCTAAGCCTATCTCCCACTCAAAGACACCTCAGTTCAATTCAAGCCCTTTACTTCTCTGCAATAACAGAAGTCCTCCCCCTTCAGTACCAAAATGACCCTCTAGTATTCGCTTTCCATCACTCCCAATTATTTTTCCTTCACCCCATCCACACTGGATTGCTTCCAATGCAAGTCCTACTCTAGAGCAGACCCACTGAAATTTAAGGACATCTGTAACTTAGGCCCACTCATTTCAGTGGGTCTAGTCTGTGGCGAATTTAGTAACACACAACACCCAGACTTCTTCTCCTTTGCTCAACTCTACTTTCCAATAACCAGATAGCGTTCCTATCAATGAAATACCGTGGACGCTCGGGTTGCGAACACGGAGCATTCGCAACCCGCGTCTGCGCATGTGTGGGTTGCGATTTGGCGCTTCTGTGCATGCACGACCGCCAAAACCCGAAGTCACCCGTTCCAGTACTTCCGGGTTTCGGCGGTCCGCAACGCGAAAAAAAGCAACCTGAAGCAGCTGTAACCCGAGGTATGACGGTACCTCTGACAGCAAGCAGTGGACAGCTAGGATTAGCCAGAGCCCCTTGCACATGATGCAAAGTCCAGTTTGGCGGAGCCTGATCCTCCTTGGGAGATGCACGGGGATCCAAGAGCGTCAGCGATTGCCGGGAGGAGTCCCCAGGAGGGCTGTGCCGGACACAGAGGCGAGAGGCAGACGAGAAGGTTACACGAGGGTAGGTGATGTATTCCGATACAATGCCATGGGCTTGGAGCTGCAGAGAATGGGAGCGTGAGTGGAGCTTTCCTCCAGAAAAGAGTTTCAATGCCCACAAAACTGTTTGGAGCCGAACCAAGGCTAAGGGAACAGTGTCCTTGTAGGGGTACAATCTGGTGTGACCCAAGGTTGGGGTGACGGAAAAACCCAAGTATGTCAACTTCTGCTCCTTATTTAAGCTGCTCATGTACTTTTTTTGTTGAACAAGGAACTGCAAACCAGGAACCACCATGAGCATCATTAGGACCCCCCCCCGAAGTAAACAAAAAGTATAGGACTGAACTGCAGCTGAACTCCATGGCTGAGCAGCGATTTGAACCCAGGTTCCCCACCCTCCAACTCTGCCGCTATTCATTCTTTTCACCTGCTACCTCCTTGTAATATCCATCAAACGCGTTCAGGCCATTTGCTTGATTAGGTCTGACCTGCTCATTAGGAAATTAACTGCAGCAAAAATAAGTGTAGAAGAGTAGAAAGATTAGCAAGTACTTTGTACTGCTGACTAGTTAAAAACAACTTAATACGAAAATTAGAAAATCAACATGATAAAAATGGTTTCATGAAGATCTAATCTTGAGATTATTTCTGACAAATGTGATGCTTTTATATTTCCCCTGTTGGAATAGAAAAAATATGGACAGCACTGAGAAATCATGTTCCAAACTGAAGTCCAAAATGTATTTAAAGTGTTGCTTTTTGCTATAAATTAAAGATAGAGGTACTGCGTAATAAAAATGTACATGAAAGAGTGACCCCTAAAGAGTAAGACCAGAAAGAAAGAAAGAAAGAAAGAAAGAAAGAAAGAAAGAAATTGCAGGTAGCCATTTTGATAGGAACGTTAGGAAAAAAGTCAATCCAAGTCAGGCATTAGCATTCCCATGTTACTCAACATGGAAGTGGGGATGCAACAAATAACTCCACCTTTGCATGAAGAATGCAACTGACTGTACTAACAGAGCCGCTCCCTTTATAGGCACAGAAAATGTAACCTTATATAAGTATATTTGGAAGGAAGCATAGTCAGTTTCAATGGTGCTTACTCCCAGGCAAGGATGTGGAGGATTACAGCCTTAACGACTACACTCAAGACTGGTTTTCCCTTTTCTTTTCTACACCCAGAAAGGAGAAGCTCAAAAAAGTCACTGGAGAAATCCAAGGTTCTAAGGCAGCTGTGATCTGGCATCATGGGCAGAAGTCACACACCCATGCCCCCAAATAAGTTCACAGCCCAATTCTCTTCAGATATATCCAAAGATGCTTTTAAAGTGAAACATGCCTGCATGCAAGTTAATAGAGGACAAGGCTTTTGCACATAGCCAAGTATTGGATTTGGGCTAGCAGGTGGCAGTGTGACTAGACTGACCTTGGCTACAACCTAAGTGGTCTTTTAATGCAGGGGATTTTAGGCTAGAAATCACCTGAACCCCCAACCTGTCATATTACTAGCAGACTGAAGGGCTGGCATAAGCAGTATCTCCCAGCAGCCGTCCCCAACCTGCAATATGGAGATAATGGGCTGTATTTGTGATGGCAGGCATGGGCATTGCCAGAATTTTTTTTGGGTGGGGCAGGCCTTTTGTTGGGGGGTGGGCAAAACCTCGGTTAGCTATGTATTTTTTATCGATTTTTATTGACTGGGGGGGGCAGCTGCCCCTCCCTGCCACCAATGTTTCTTGAAACACCTAAAAAATAAAAAAGGCCCTTCCTCTCTGAGTGAGGACAGTGCAGTAATACTTCTTTTAAGCTTTGCTTGTGGGGGTGGAGGCATGCCCAGTCAGAACTCCCCTAACCAACCACTGATTCCTATAGGAGCAACTCTCATTTATGACCCCAGAGATTTAAAATGGCTTCCATCGGAACCCCGAAAATCTTCTATCCACACAACCACCTCGCCCCTTTCCCAATCTCTGGGGCTGCATAGCGCCACAACCAACCCTGAGCTCGACCCATTCCAAATCGCGCACCCGCCCAGGCCCGTCACCACCTCTCGAGTAACTATTTTCCCACAGAGGCCTATAGGTTGAGCTACGTGGGTTTTTTTTTGGGGGGGGGAGGTGTTGTTTCCTGCTTACCTGAGTCAAAACTTCCACGCGGACTGGAGACACAGGCTCGCTCATAGCTTGGTATTCCGAATCAACCTGCAGTGCAGAAAAAAATAGGAGCAAATGGTGCGAGGGAGAGAAAAGGGGGACACGTGGGGAGAGGAGCGGCTTTGGAGAAGGTTTATGGAGTCGGGAGTGATGACCCAGGCTAGCAAGTAAATTAAAACAGGAGTTAACAGTAAGAGGCTCACCCCGAGGAAAAACTGTAACTAAATCCGTGAAAAGAACTGCACCACATAGTTCAATATTTGAGCCTTTAAAAACTTACAGGGGAGCGCTCCGCGTAGCTGTCAGTCTTCCCCACCGCGGCTGCCCAAAGTTCCTACTCTTTCCTCCTCCTTTTTTCTCGGATTATAATGGCGTTTCAAGGCCATTCCTGCCCTCTTTCCCAGGTGTACATGATCTTGCTTTCAGACTCGATCCAATTAGCCCTAGCAAAAGGGAGGATCCCTCAGCCAGATCTCTCTCTACTACTCCTACCGGTTCGACCAATCCCAGACCAAGGGCCCCATGGAGAACAGTCTGATGCAGACCCAGGAAAAAGGGAGAGGAAAGCAACCAACTCGCCGCACCCGGAGCAAGCGGATAGGAAGCCGTTGTCTATGAAAACCAACAGCCTAACGATCTGCTACGCGCAGAACACAGATCGTGGAGCTTGCACACCCGCCTTGGTATTTTGCACGAGAAAGCGGCATATAAATGCTTTTATAAATACAGTGCAATATATAACTCTTGGATGTTAAGTTTCAGAGGCATATCAGAAGGAGCTGTGGCTAGCAGAAGATCTGGGTTGCAGACCAGAATCGGAATCAGGTTCGTTGCTGGGTTGTCTTCAGCCCAAGTTCCTGATAGTGCAGAGAGCTGAAAATCCATACTGGCTCCTCCTAGGTTTTCTTCGGAGCAAGTCCAATTAATTTCAGCGGTGCTCATTTCTCAAGGCCTTGTCCTCAAGAAAAGGTAGTAAATGTGACTCTGGATGGTGCCGATACAGACGTGGAATCACCCAACAGAAATTCTTTTTCATGCAGAACAAACCCTGCACATCGAGAATGGGATGTCAGCAAGAGAGCAAAAACTTCTCGCCTTGGCGCGCCTGTTTTCTATGGGGTTTGGGAGGGAGGCGAGAAAGGGAAGGGAAGGGACCTTTGCTTACGCTCAGAGTAGCATGCAATCAACGTGAGCCCCCGCTTTCAATTTGAAATCGAGCTACTCAGATAATTGGTTAGTCCCGTTAGTATCTGAGTGAAAATAATACCCAAGTAATAACTTGAGCCTATATACACTTAGAAGTCTCACCTCATTCCACAATATTTACTCCCAAGTAAGTTTGCACAGGATCTGAGCACACAGCAGCAATCCTGTGCGTTCTTACTTTGGAGCAAGCCCCGCTGAAATGAGTGGGACGACTGACTTGAAAAAGACTGGGGTAGGGAGTAAAAGGACCCTAAGCAGATTTGCTTAAAAATAATTCCTCCGTACTTCAACGGCACTTATTTGGTGGTGTGTTTAGGATTATATCCTTCATTGAATTCCCAAGTAGCAGAATTGCGGATTTAGAAAGGTCCATATTGCTTGAGCAACGTCTTGGTAAACACTGCTCTCTAACAAAATTTACTCCTGCTCTTGAAGGACTCCAAAATCTGATAATCACCACTATCAACACACATGAATCCTGGGAACTGTAGATTGTTAAGGGTGGTGTGTGTTATATCTCTGTAGTGTAGGGGTTAACTACAGTTCCCAGGATTCAAGTGGGGGTTGGGGCAAGAAATGTGATTTAAATGTGTGGTGTGTATGCCTCAGTGCGCACTATGTATGTCCCAATGGGGTGTGCTTTAAAGTGTTTGCGTTTGCATAGGATTGTACATTTATAGTTACAGGAAGGGATATTGTGATAGAGCCCAGAATTCTCTCCCCCCCCCTTTAAAGTTCTTTTTGCAAGACATTTCCCAGTGTTTGTGGTATTTACCCACTGATCGCAATCAGGAACATTTCACGGTAATAGTTTAATGTTGCATTTGAGCTAATAATTCTGTAAAAGTATTTTGTTGATGGGTTGTGTGTGTGTGTGTGTGTGTGAGAGAGAGAGAGAGAGGGGGGGGGGATTTCAGGCATTTTGTAAACCTGAGGAGTTTTTTTTCTGGACCTGTTTTCCAGATTGCAATCTTTGCAAGTTAGAACTTCTAATTTTCTTGGTTAGGCTCTTTCAGGGATGTTGTATTGTCAGTTTTTCAAACCTTCTCCAGCATTCTAAACTGAGCAACAGTGAAATTCAGATCTTTCATCTCTCTCAACTTCCTTTAAAAATGTCTCTTCCCCCTTTTTTTATTTTACTTTATTTCATTCCATTCCATTTATGAATCACTTCCTGTGAAACATCTTTAAGTAATTTAAAACATTAACAATAAAACATATATGAAAAGATTTCATATATGAAAAGGATTTCATATCCAATAAGGAAACAGACTGGGATAAAAGGCTCTATTTAAAGGCTTGCTGAAAAAAAGATGATCTTCAATAGGTGCTGAAAAGGCAGTAGAAACAATGTCTCTCTGATATGTAATGGAAGCCTGTTCCAGATTGATAAAATTAATCTGAATTAATTAATTAAACTTCCTTTTAAGAGTCTCTGTTTTAGTGAATGAGGAGGGAAGTGAGGGACAGATGGGGCTCATTAACCTGGGAAGGTAGCCCATCTAGAAGGAAAACTCTTGATTCTAAACTTCTGCTGCCTTGTGGGATATCTTCCAGAGAGAAAAAAAGCTAAGGAGTACACATATCCAGAGTCGATTCCCTAAAGCAGTTGGATGGTATCTTGCATGCCTTCTCCTGACTCCTGACAACCAGCCAAGCTGGTGCCAAACCAATTGCTCTGCTTTCCCTTGGACCACATCATCAAGGCAGAGGAGAGGGGGCTTGTCGTCTGAGCAACCCAAGACCTCCATACATACTGCCCAGGCTTGCACCCTGGGGAGGTCAACTGAAGTGCCACTAACAGAGCAGTCTGACTTCACCCCAGAGGGGCATTCTATTATCTCTCGAGACAGACAGATGCCAACGACAAAAAATACTGTTTCTGGCGGTCCTGAAGTTCCAGCTCCCTTTTTTGAAGTTTTTTTTTTTTAGTCCTTTGTGCTGTTTACTCATCTTTTGGTCCTTATCTCTTAGCCCTTGGCATTAAACCCATTCCTGAAGCTCTTATTCCTCCTAGGAAATCATCCACCTGGAATCTAGAGTCTCAAAATGAGTCCCCCTTCCTGCCTCAACCCCCCCAACCTTGTACTTTTGGTAGTAGTGTGGGACTTTCCAGCTGATATGATTGCAGTGCATCTAGGTATCACCCTAACAAAAGATAACATTCCCCTCACCTCCAGGACAGCCTTTTCTTGTGAAGCATTAAGCTGGCAAGAGCCTCTTCCGGAATACTCTTCCGGAACACAAAGCTCTTCTGGAGCTTTGGAATGTGTTTTCTCACAATGAGATCAAGGCGCCTAGTAACTTCCTTTCAGCACTCTTTGAGCAGTGGAGTATTCAAAAAAAAAAAAAAACCAACCAAAGCAAAACAAGATTATTTGGTGAATTGGTCCAGGGAAGAACATGATGGAGTGTGAGGGGACTGTGTGCTCTATAGTTGTGATGGGAAAGAAGTGACAAGTTCTGTGAGGATAAATGGCAAAGATCAGTGTTCACCAGGGAAACTGTGGCACCTTTCTGGTATAACAGAGTCCAACCTTTTATTTATTGTTTGTGTGAAGTTTACATTTTTGCTGGGAGGATATTCTGGGAGGAAATGAGTGGGCCCAGGGGAGCCTTAACTCTGTGCTAATGAAGTTTGTTTGTTTATATATTGGCCAATAAATTTTCCCGAGTTACTTAAAAGTTAGATTGAATGGGGTTCCCTGTGGTGTGATTATATGGGTGTCTTGCAGTTGGATGTGGCAGCAGGGTAGCAAATACACATTTCTGCCACCCTCATTTAATTCACACATCATACTGGCTTATTTTTAGTATTCTGCTGCTTCTAGAGTTCTCTTTCGCTGTAGGAAAGTTTGTGCTTGGCAACACTGAGCCTACCAGTGGAGAGGATTACTGAAAAGAGGTCACTAGCATCAGGGTTCCTTTGTTGGAGATAGCATTGCCGGGTCCAGCCCCCAAGTGGGCTTCTCCATCTTTAGACAGTTGCACAGAAGAACTGGAAATGTCACAAGTGTGGCTCTTCTTATTTCACAGCAGTGGTGGCAAGAGAAGCTTCCGCGAACAAAATCTTCCCTTCTATGGAATTTTGAGCAGTTTAGAACATAAGATCTGACCTCATAATGGCCAAACATGCCTATGGGAAGCCGGCAAGCAGGACCCGTGTAAGAGTACTTTGCCACCCTGCAGTTTCCAGCAACTGGTATTCAGAAGGACACAGCCTCCAACCATGGAGGCAGAGCATAGCCATCATGGAAGTCACAAACCGAAACCTTTCTGAGTTCTGTGAGATTTTCACTCTTGTAAGGCTGCAGTATTAAGCAGACTTTATATTACTTCCTAAGAAGTAAGTCCCATTAAAGTTGATCAAAGTTAGTGGTGAACTTATTTATGGGGAAACTGTTTAAAATTAGGGTGTAAGTAAGCTTAGATCTGCAAACTTAAAAGTTCTGGAATCCCTTTGTACTCTGGAGAGACTCAGAATTCCTAGCTGAGCACTTGGAGTGCATTGTCACTAAGAACTGTGCCATTAAAAATTCCTTGTTATGGATCTGAGCTTTTTGTGACTGGAATGAATAATATCACTTTGCAAAATTTAGTTCCTCTTTTGAGTGCTTTATACTCCTTTTAAAAATCATAAACCTGGGAAGGAAGAAGTAGGGGTCAGCAAACTTTTTCAGCAGGGTGCTGGGTCCACTGTCCACGGTCCACAAACCTTGTGGGGGGCTGGACTATATTTTTTTGGGGGGGGGGAATGAACGAATTCCTATGCCCCACAAATAACCCAGAGATGCATTTTAAATAAAAGCACACATTCTACTCATGTAAAAACACCAGGCAGGCCCCACAAATAACCCAGAGATGCATTTTAAATAAAAGCACACATTCTACTCATGTAAAAACACCAGGCAGGCCCCACAAATAACCCAGAGATGCATTTTAAATAAAAGGACACATTCTACTCATGTAAAAACACGCCGATTCCCGGACTGTCTGCGGGCCGGATTTAGAAGGCGATTAGGCCAGATCCGGGCCTTGGTTGGCCTACCCATGAAATGCACTCATTCTGAAAATCGAGAAATTGCTTAAGGTCATTCATAATGGCTAAGCAGAAGGCCAACAGTTTAGATATAAGACCAGTTAGCAGAAATGTTCCCTGTAAAAGAAGTGCAGGATGAGTTCTTTATTAATGGAGGCAGTAATTTCCAATTATTTATTATAATCATGGTTTTTTTACATGCAAGTCAGATGGAGCTAACTTCTGGTCCTCTAAATGTTGCTAAATGGGTGGGTGCGGTATTGTGCTTTTAGTCTAACATGCAGTTCTGCCATTAGTTATGTGCAGATGTGGGGACTTCATATATCCAATAGGCACAAGATGACTACTTTAATGTTTTGATAAAAAATTGTCAAAAATAGATGTCTGAAATTTTTGGTGGCAATTGAAACACTTTGATACTTTGTCAAAATGTTGACGTTTTCTTAAAATCTTTAGCGTTCAATTTGTTAAATACAATTTTTTCCTACTCTCTCAACCAGCTTTGGTGTGAATTGAGAAGCCATATGTGTTTCAAGTGGCACCAAATCTGTGCTGTTGGGATGCAGATGAGAGGTGTGAATGCCAGGATTTTGGATCAGGTCCATCCAGTTCAAAACTAGTGTTCCAATACTGTAGTGATGTACACATAATTACTTTTAACAGCTGTCCTTCTACTTTATTCAGGAATGCTTGGAGGACCAATGCCGAATTTGAGAACCAAGGGGGCTTGAGTGTGGTCTGGTTGGTACATAGTAAGTCTGTGTTTGTACCAGGTGATATGCGAACAAGGAGAAGCAGAACCTTGAGGTTTCTGCCCTGAGATGGCAAAGAGCAACACAAGGTATACTTGGGAATAGGTTAAGCAGAGTGGAAGGGATTCTTACTTATCAAATATTCTGCTGGCTGTTTGGCACAGCTCACCAGAAACTTTCCTTACAAGCAAATTTATGGGGTGAGAAGGTGTTTCTGGCTCACTGATTTGCATTGCGAATCAGAACCATTCCCAGGCCGTGAATTCATTCATAAAGGTTATGGTATGCTGGCCCAGAGCTATCCCTTTTGGGCTTGCCTATCGTTAGGCACATACCAGCTTGTTATCTGAAATGCAAGAATCAGATCAAATGTATTGAAGTGCCCCCAGCTTGTTGTTCCTGTTGGTAGGTAGGTTATATGCGGGACATTAGAGAGAAAGTTTGAAGGTGAGGAACACTTTTAAAGAGGTACTTTTTGTAAGACTTGACTGTGGATGTCACCAGTGAACAGGATCAGAAAAACCAGGACAAAACCACTGGTATGGCTGCCCCATTAGGGATATGTCAGGAAGACTATACTCTGTTTCTGGAATGGAGTGTGGTGTTTCTGACTGCATGAACCAAATGCAGGGGATGCCATTCCCCACTTTGATTCAGATAGCTAACTTACTGGTGCTAGTACCAGTGTGGGTGCTGGAGGCCGTGGTGCTGGCCTCCACTAAGAAGCATAGTGGTGTTCCGAGAGAAGTGCCTAGTTTTCCCTTGGACACATTCTGCGCTTCCCGGTGTGTGCTGTAACTCCAAACTGCAGAGTGCAGAAAGTTGCCACCTATCTCAGGATAGTTAGTTAATGCAGTTTGCCCACTCCTGTGTTGGAAATAATGAAAAGTTTTTTTGGAGTAATGTATATAGTACATATTGAAGCATTGGTTGGACTGATTCTAGTCATACTGACTCCAATTTCATAAATGTCACGCAGAACAGGGTATGGTTGGATGTGGAAATACATATGCCATGACGTCACAGGATTTGTGCCCTTTCTCACATCCAGGAGCTTCCAAAATGTTAAGTGTTTTTTCTCTTCTTGGATTTTTTAAGACTATAAATGATTAAAAACCTATGCACAATGGTACCTACCTTTTGCTCCTCTCTTCTGTTTCCTCAGATCCCCAAATGCTAGTGGATTGGGGATCCAATCTGGATTATACGCATGGCTCTGATCCTGTGTCTGTAAGGTTAGAATCCCAAAGAGGAAACCTGCTGAATCAGTCAAACTAGTTCTTATGGCCTTAGCTACTCAGCTAAGTATCCATCATCAGCTTCTTAAAGAATGAGCCCTGTTGCCAAGTCAAATGGATGGGCCTTTCCCCACCTCACCTGGCTGAATGCCATGTCATCCTACGATGGAGAGCAATTGGACAAGTGGGGTTGTGTGTGTGAGAGCTCCTCTATCAGTGCCGGATTTACGTATAAGCTAAACAAGCTATAGCTTAGGGCCCCACTCTCTTGGGGGCCCCAAAAAAATTAAAGGAAAAAAACCAACTGGATGTACATTTCCAAAATGGATAAAAAACAAATAAAATAAAACCTACATATAACAACAGTGTTGTGTAGTGTTGTGTTGTGTTGTGTAGGCTCCTATGGTGTAAGTAAGGGCCTGCTAGCCTGCTCCCTAAAATATCACATATAAACGGCCCCATTATCTTCAGTAGCTTAGGGCCTCATCAAACCTAAATCCGGCCCTGCCCTACATCCCATGCTCAGCTTGCATATATGTGTAAATATAGCCTAAAGACATCACAACCTCCATTGGCCTTCATTTCAAGGAACCCAAACACTGATAGGTGTGGACATCCCTGAAGTGTTTCACAGATGGGAGACTAGGGTGTGCACAACAGTTACCCATCTTTTCCTGTGGCCCATGTGTTCCTAAGTCTACCTCACAACTCCTCCAGCAAGTGTTTATAGAGTTGCTTGTTGTCAATGTGCCTGTTCCATAGCTGCCATTTCTGTAGCTGCCACATTGTCAACAGCTGCTATTCTTTGGGCCTCCTGGGATGCCCTGAAGGAAAACATGAGCAGATTTATTTTCTAGGTGAACAGCCTCTGACACGTTAACCCAGCTTTCCACTACCTGGTGCCCAGGCTCTGGCTGATGGAAGTTGTACCTCTCGGAGGCACCAGGTTGAGGAAGGCTGGAGTGGATTCCACCCTCTTGCCCTTTTATAAACCACAAAAGATCAAAGTGTGAGTGAAGTAAGGCCATATAGGTTTAACCTGTCACATTTGGGGGAGGGGATTAAAAGACTGTGATGTCGTCCAGCTTCACAGTTTTTCATACTGGCATTGATAGTAAACCTGTTAGCTAATCCAGCCTGTGGCTAGGAACCAGGCAGCTGTGGCTTTGAAAGGCTTATATGCTAGTAAAACACTTTCAGTTGTTTAAATTGTTTTGTCTGTGTATGAGCTTCTAATCAAAGCCTATTTCTTCTCTTCTCTTTTTGCATCCTCCACCAACTTGCAGCTCAAAATCAAACATTCTGATTTAATAAGTGGGTGCTGGCTACAGAGGCTGGAAGCAGCTGGAGCTGAGATCAGCCCCTAGATCCCGTTCTTAGCACAGATGCTTGGCTGTATCCAAAGGAGATGCAGTCCTCAAAGACACATTGATGCTCAATCTGCACCCTGCACCATCAACTCCACACAGGGCTTTAATATGGCTGAAATGCCTTGACAGCATGGCTTGTAGATGGGTCTGTTTGAAAGTACTCTGCAAACATTGGGCTTGCCTTCCAGAGACGCAGTGAGGTTGTGGATGTCTTTCTTTTGAGGATACTGAGGCAAAACAAGCAGGATCTGTGTTGTCTTAGGTGCTCCTTCCCAACATCCAAACAGTGTGTTTTTAATGGCAAATCTAATCTGCAATACAATTCTTTCTCTTGGGAGTCGATTCTTAGGGGAAGAGCGTGAGGGTTAAGGAATGATTAGTTGTTAAAACCCTTTTGTTCTTAAGGAATGATTAGTTGTTAAAACCCTTTTGTTCTTAGAAGGGTAAGATGCTAAGTGAACATTTGATGCAACTCGGTTGACATTTTTAGAGGAGAAAAGCCACTTCAGGTGGGGGTTGATTTGAATCAGAGAAGAGAGTGCTGCGTGATTCAAGGACTCTGAGCACAGGCTCATATTTGCATATGCTAATTTATATGTATAAATGCAAAGCAAGGCTGGCTTCCAGAGGAGGGGAAAGCAAACTCTGCCTCT